GCGACAGCGTGCATGCCACCGCAAGAAATCTGGACAACGCCGACGTTGGTGGCGGAGAGGTTATCGTTAAGTCGGGGACGCTTGACGTCAATTGGCTTCTTGTTGTTGACGCGCTTGCTTCCGAGACCAAGCTCACCAGAGGAACCCTCACCAAAGACGTACACATCGAGGATCTGGGTGGGCGCGTCGTTGAGCTTCTTTCCGATCGCAGGGAACTCGGACTTCTTCTTGGGCTCGGCCTTTGACCCAACAGGACGGCTGGGTTTCTGGGCAGCGGGCTTCTCCTCCGCCTCTTCGGTCTTTGCTCGTGTCGTTGTCTTGGCCTTTGGAGCAGCGGCTTTGGTCTTGGGTGCGGGCTTGACAGCGGGCTTCACGACGCGTTCTGTGGTCTTGGACTTCTTTGTCTTACGATCTTCCTCCTGCTGGGGCTCAGACTCTTCCTCGATCGCCTTGCGCTTCTTGGTGGCGCCATTCGTGGCAGCAGGCTCAGCCTTCTTGGTGGCAGCAGCTTTTGTAGTCTTAGTCTCCTTCTTCGCAGCGGCAGCAGCTGTGGTGGCCTTCTTGGGCGCTGCAGTCTTGGGAGCAGCAGCTGCTTTGGCTCGTGGCGCCATCGCGTGGGATTTGTGACGTGATGATTTGTTGTGTGTGGCGCGACAGTTGTGCTTTTTTGCTCAAAGAAGCAGCTTGATCGGGGAGATTGAGAAGTGCAAAACTTGATGGAGTGATATGTGTTGATGATAAGATCAAGCTTGGGAGGAGCGCGACAATGAAGAAAGTGGGTGGACTTTTGATGAACAATAGGGAACCAGGGAAAAAAAAGCTGATCTGACCGCGCTGGGGGCAGTGGCAGTGATCATTTGCGGGCTGGACAGGGGATGATGCCTGGATTGGGTGTCACCGCCCGGGAGCTGTCAGCCAGTTCCAATTGCGCTAGTGGTTTTTCTGCCGGACAAATCTCCCAGTTACGAACCAGACTGGCCAGAGCAGCAGAGCTTTCAAAGGCGGTGAATCGAGAGCTGTTCATCTTATCAGCAGATACGCGATTTACTGTTGGTGATTGATGAAATGAACGTTCCATCGTTCTGAGCACAGACGCTGCAATAGCAGTTCAATTATACGTCGCAACTTTATTGTCGTCCGATATTGGAAATGGCACAATTGACATCTGATCTGACAAACTTGGTTTGAACTGCACGTTCTCAGAATGAACAATTGAACATCACCTCGACGCGTTTGCTTAGCGGCCAAAACATCCCGATGCGTCTGGCTGGGAACGTATTGTAGTACAGACCCTCACAGTTTTTGTTTGTATCACACAATTGCACGTTTCTATTCGTATGTTAAATCTCGTGTGTTGTTCATTTCTGTATTCGTCTCTTAGGTATCTATCGCCTCGCCACCCAACCAGTACCATAACCGTTCCCCAACGCCAACCAAATGCAATATTTTATTTTCTGCGCCATTAAACGGTATTCATCGTCACCGATATCGTAAATTTATTTCTTGGTAGTGAAGTCGATCTCGTTGGCAGGGTTGAAGCCACCATCAGCAGCCTTCTCGCAAGTGCAGCCACCTAAACCCCCACAATTAGCAAGCTGTCGTCACAGGAACACAAAACGCCACATACCAGCAGGACGAGATCCACAAGCGCAGGTTGAACCAGTAGGTGTAGCGTTCTCGGTAGCGGCGCGGTCGCATGTGCATTCACCGGCGGGACGAGCGCGGCATGAGCATCGAGGACCGTTGACCGTGTTTTCAGAGGCGGCTTTGGAGCATGTGCATTGGAGAGCGGACTTTTGACCGCATGAGCATGTGGCCTTTTGGGCTGTAATGTTGTTAGAAGGGTTGGGGATGGTGGGAGGGATGATGTCACGTACCACAGGCGCACTCGACGTTGTCGCCGGAGCGGCAGCAGGTAGCAGGAGTGTTGACGACCATTTTGAAGGTTGGAGGTGGATTTGAGTTGTCAGGGAGAGTTATTAGATTAGTGATGGTATGAAGAAAATTGATTGAATTGCGAGATATGCTTGCTTGAGATACTGCATCACGGAAGCGGCTCTTGGTCTTATTTGTACTTGATCGCTTTCAAAGAGTTCGCCCCGCTTTATCCAAAGCTTCAGAGCTGCGGACCTGAGAGCTGGTCATCGCATTCGCTGTGATTGGTCAAGAGCTACTGACTCAGCATTCTCAGCCAATGAGCGATTGCTTATTCTTTTTTGCTCGATTGTCGCCTCCCAGAACATGCCATGCTGATACAGGCCATGTCATGCGTCTGTCAGCTAACGAGCTAGACCGACTAAACGAGCCTCAGCATTTTCGCTATGTCCGTGATTGGTTCTCCAAGTCTTGTATTGTCAGCAATGGACAACATTTCTCTGTTGTGTCTAGATAAATGTAAGGCCGTTCATAGAATCGTCTCTTTGGCAATAAATATGCACCCAAGTATTACTGATCATAGCTCAATTGATGTATACAGTGTAAATAACTAACCATAGCTGAATCATCTATCAGTTGTGATCACTCACCGATCAAGACCAGGTCTTTCATCGCCACACAGCGCCACTTCCGTTGTCAATGCGCTTTACTCTGCGTCGGCTATCTCCGGTCGGTTGTTGATAATGTTCCTGCAAGCCACCGTTGTCAAAACAGAAAACTGATAAAAGAAAACAAGCGCCCATATACCCTGCAGAAAAAGTAGTGCGAACTGAGATGGCTTGCAGCCAACCGACACTCCGATAGACATTAACCGCGCCCTGGCGTGGATAGGAATTTTCTTAATAAGCATTTCAACTACATCTCTTATCCTGATACTGAAATTATGCTCGATAAATGCTCAGCCATTTTACTAGACAACAAAGCTATGGATTTATTAAAATAATATTAAAATATCTTATTATTAGTATTTAGTAACTGTTAAATTTATGTAAATACTTCTATATAATTAAAATTCAATTTAGATAATATCTATAGGGTATTTATATCTATCTCTAACTATCTGTCTCTGTGCACCAGTCATAGAACTCGATTCTGAACGATTAGTCATCGGTCAACGGTCCTATAGTTTAGTGGTAATGACGTCGGATTTTGATACCCTCAAAAGCCTTCCGAAGACCCCGGTTCGAACCCGGGTAGGACCTCGCTTTTTTGTCTTGCCCGGCACATATCATCACTCCCTTATCTCTCAACTTATTGAAGAATGATCGGATTCTACATTTTTTGTTTCTATGATAACGTGGTCTTTACGCCACTTGTCGGATAGCAAATACAGTTAGCCAATGTACGTCACTTGCAGCCGATGTTGGCTGGCCAATTGACTGATCACTACTGCTCTGGCGACGTCACACGGGAATGATGACGATGTCTGAATCACTTTAAAATTGATATGAATGGATACAAATTGAAGAGTGACAATCTACCTAGTAGTCGCCGTCATTTGTGTCTCTGTCAAATGTCTTTGTCTTGCTTAAGTCATATGTCTCCTGGTTGGATCACTTTAGTGGGGACATTTGATGTTAGCCAACCTCCACTCTCTTGTCCATGAACCTACCATTGTTCCCTGTCCCTTCACATTTCATTTCCAGACACAATGTCAGTTCCTAGCCCATCTGATATAACCGACTCCACGATTGTGGTCATTGGGTATGCTCTCACCATCAATCCCGGCCTAGGACCCTGCTAACAGCAACGTTTCAGTGCTGGCATCATCGGTCTTACCAGCGCCCTCAAGATCCAACAACTAATCGCCGACTCACCATCAATATCAGTCCTCCTCGTCGCAAAAGAATGGCCAACTTCAATCCCCGGCGCACCAACGACGCACTCAGCAGACTATGCTTCCATGTGGGCTGGTGCTCACATCCGACCCATCCCCGCTTCTACGCCACAGTTACGTCGTGAAGCCAAGTGGGTGAAACACACTGTCGCTGAGCTTGAGAAACATTGGCAGAGTGAACCTTGGGTTGGGATCAGACGTCTTCCAGGTGTTGAGTATCTTGAGGATCCGTCAACTGAGTACCTGAAGCAAGATGCTCAGAGCTTTGCCAACGAGACTGGACTGCCCGGATATCGGAAGTATGAAACCCATGAACTACCTGAGACTGTAAAGCTGGGGTTTGAGTATGAAACTTATTGTATTCATGCCCCGTTATACACTGCTAGCTTGCTGCGTAAATTTATTGTTCATGGCGGAAAGACACTGCAGAGGGATTTGAAGAGTGAATGGGAGGCTTTTATCCTCGCACCTAGTGTTAAATTAGTTGTGAATGCGAGTGGAATGGGTTTTGGGGATAAGAAGTGTTTCCCAATCAGAGGTACGACAGGCGTTCAGGACCATAGATAACAGCTGACAAGAACCAGGCCAGACAGTGCTAACCAACCTCACCGCCGCCGACAAAACTATCACAACTCAGAAGAAAGACGGCACCTGGAGCTTTATAATCCCTCGTTCTTTCAATGGAGGAACAGTCATTGGCGGTACCAAAGAAGTCGGAAACTGGCAGCTCGAACCATCAGAGGAAACACGTGCTCAGCTACTGAACGCTGCTCAGTCAATCATACCACAAGCATGCGATAAGAGGCAGACGTTTGAGACGATAAAGGTAATCAAAGATGTTGTTGGAAGAAGACCAGCTCGTGAGGGTGGCATGAGAGTCGAGACTGAAGCTAGGGATACCACATGGGGTATCAAACATGTGATTCATGCCTATGGTGCTGGAGGACGAGGATTTGAATTATCTTGGGGCGTGGCTAGTGAAGTGACTGAACTTGTGAGGGAGATATTGAAATCGAAGTCTAGTGCTCGACCTAAGCTTTAGAACTTGACTTGTTAGTGTGAATTGGTATGATCCGGGATGGGAACGATTCGGCTTTTATTAATCTCCATCTCGAAAAGCTAGGGAAATTGCTTGGGAATTGCCATGTTATAGGCCATAAGACTCAATACTATAAAAGTTTCTTGACAGGTCATTCAGGGTTAGCTAAGAAGTTCACTCATGTTATTCCTATTCCACAAGTGGCTTCTTTCGCTGGTCATCTTTATATGGCGCAGGCTTGACTACCTAGAGAAATGAATGTTAGAGGCTGATTGAGAGTAGGCAATGAGCATTCGGGTGAACTCAGTACTTACAGCGCGAATCATCTTTTGTGGACTCCCTTCGTTCCCCCATTTGACCATAACTTCTGTTCCGGGTGTTGAGTACTTCACCTCCATGATACAGAGAGAGATCATCTTCTTGAACCAGTAGCTGTAGCAGCGCGAGACGGCACAGCCAATAAGTCTGTCATCATCATAGACACCACTTCCTGTCACGCCTCCCCACTCTCGTGGCATTTCCATAAAGTCCTGCGTCTCGTTGCAGAAGAGAGATGCGTACACATCTGTCACATCCTTGCTGTTCCATTCCAAGGTAGCGAGGGCATTTGGAGGGTCGCTGGCTATTTTCTTCAGGGTTTTTTTGCCGATAAAATCATGTTCAAAGTTAACAAGCCACCCCCATCCAAGGTCAAATGGCGTACGATGATGCGCGGATGGATGAGAGCTATAATTACCAGAAACTCCGATATGAAGCACGGCCGGAGAGACTAAACCCGAGGTTCGAAGAAACTGGCGGTATTCAACCATATCGAGGCCATCTCCATGGAACGAAGGGAGGAAATCGAGCCATGGAGTAGGAAACGCCCCTTCCACCTGGACCCGAGTAAGCATCGCAAGTCAATTAAAGAGTCATAAAAAATAAGGGGAAACGAACGTGATTCACTGTCTTGGCACGGTAGCCGAGTTGACGAATACCGAACTCAGTCCCATACGACAAGATGGCACGATAGACAGCGTGCGCTTCTTCAGCTGGACCCCAGAGTTCGAAGCCTCGTTCGCCGGATACGCCCGCCCGAAGGCATAGAAAGCTATGCCCATCGATGGACATCTTCTTGGAATGCATGAATTTGAGGTCAGTGATCGATGATTTAGTTGCCGCCTCCATCACTGGTACACTGCTGGGGCCCTGAACCTGGAAAAGATACCAATCGTTAGAGACGATATCGACCGTGGCATTGAACTTTCGATTTCCGTGGTGAAACTGATACACCGCCCAGGTGACTCCGGGAACGGAAGTAAAAATGAAGTCATCGTGATCGAGCATCATGAGAACTCCTTCACCAATGATCGTTCCATTGTCTCGGCAAAAGATGGCATGCTTGGCTTGGTTTGGCTGGAAGTTGGGCCAGTGGTTCGTGGAGAGATACTCAAAAAACGCCTTGCTGTCCGGACCCCGAACTCTCATCTTGAGGAGGGGGGACCAGTCGCCAATATAACAGGTCTTTTTCCACGACAGGCTCTCATCAACCCAGTCAGTGAACTCAGACGCCTCGAACGTACTGATGAAGCGTGACCATGTATTGACAGACGGGTCGACAGGGACGTTAGGGGCCACAGGGACGGCATTCTGTTCTCCGTGAAATTTGGATGCGGCTGATTCGGGCATTGTAGGATGCTTAAATGTTATATGAAGTAGAACTAGATATGAGCAGGTTAAAAGCGAACTTGAGTCTTAATTAATGGTGGGAAGGCATCGGAAACCTTTATACAGAGGTGAACGGCATGTTTGGAAAGTAGTACATTTTGCCTGAAGCCATACGACCGGGGAGTTCGTACGCCATCAGAAATACCCTAGTGGAGTTGCAGTAAGCCGCCGGGCCGCCGTCAAGAGCCCAAAGCAGCATGGATTTTCATAAGACCGCTATATAACTCTTGTATAATTGGTCAGAGGTAAGACCTATGCGTTTTCAACCAGTTAAAAACCCTATGCTAGACAGCACAAGGACTGGCAATGTTGTAATGGGGTACGGCGAATTTCCGGTACGCGCTCTTTCTTTCTATGGTAATTATGGATTTACGGACTTATGGACCTTTTCAATTGTGCGAAGAATTCCTACTATAGTGTTTTAGAGTTCAAAAGATGGAAGATGCTTGCGTAATTGTTGGGGAAGGTTTAAGGTTTTGATCACAAGGCCTGTGACAGCCATTCAAAGAGGCTGTGATGGCGGAGTCGCATTTAGCATGCTGCCTCATTGATGAACATAATATTCACGCAGTTTAGCAACCAGCACAATACTTGACTACGCCTTTATGCAGGCTATCACTATTGCTAAATGCGAGTTATGCAACGCGACTCTGTTGCTGGCTCAGAAGGCTTAAAGTAGAGCCGCGTGTTGTGTCACTTCGCTTACCGAGGACTGCGAGGCCCTATGCTATCAAACCTCTGAAATCTGTGCAAGACCGGAGCCTTAGAGTCAGATATATGCAAGTGCGGATAAGCACTAGAGATAATCGAACATTTTCTGTCCTTACTTTAGTAAAGAAAAATTACAGAATAAAGGCATGTTAAAACAATTAAATTACCAAGAAGACCCTGGTCATAACTCGTGACAGTGGTAAAAACGTTTCGGTATCCTTTACCGAGCTTCGGCTGATGTTACTAATTGACCGACTGATTAGTATGGTTATTACCACGAAAAACCGCGGGAATTACTTGGCAGATCGCTCCTAAAACCAACTACATGTCAAGTGCGCCCTTAAGCACGCCGAGGCCACGATCCTTTGCTCATAGAATAAATATCTCTTCCCTCGCTAAATATCCTCCGCAAACCCAGCTACTACCACATTGCCACACTAAATTCACCAAGATGAACGCCCCCACTGATGAAAACTGGCAACCCAAAGCCATTGTCTTCGATCTCCTCACCGGCCTCTTAAACTCCTGGGATATATGGGACGCATCAACCCCATCCAAAACCCACCAAGACGGCGGCCGCTGGCGTCAGCGCTACCTCGAAATCACCTTTGGCACTGGCTCCTACAAGCCCTACGAAGACCTTGTCAGACAAGCCGCCGCTGAAGTCGGCCTCCCACCATCAGCACCTGAAGCACTCCTCAAGAACTGGTCTAGCATTAAAGCGTGGGAGGAAGTCCCCTCTGTTCTTCAAGCTTTAAAAGCGCAGGGTTATAAACTTGGTGTTATTACCAATTGTTCGAAGCACTCGGGATATATCGCTATTCGTGGTGTCGAGGAGCAGGCTAGTGTTGGGTTTGAAACACCGTTTACTTTTGATGCTGTTGTTACGGCTGAGGAGAGCGGGTTTTACAAACCTGTTAAGGAAGCATATGACGCCATCCTCCCAAATTTGGGGGTTGGAGCTGAGGATATCCTTTTCGTTGCTGGAAGTGCCGGGGATGTTGAGGGTGCGGCAAATGCTGGGATGAAGGTTGTTTGGCATAACAAGATTGGGTTAGCGAAGAAGGGCAATGCGATTCCGTTGAGGCAGAGTAGGACATTGGATGATACTCTGAAGGGGTATTTAGAGAAGTGCGAGTAGTAACTATATAGATTCAATAGACTAATTTTAAAAGAATTTATAAATTAAAAGCTAAATCTTTTAGTAATCCCTAAAAACTTAATTATTATAGCCTTTAGTTTTCTTAACTTAAAACTTAATATATAAGTTTAAATTTACTTTTTTTTTTAATTAAATTAATTATATAGCCCTAAAAGTAAAAGTATATTACTATTAACAAGCTATATTATTCTATAAGTTACTAGAATTATATATATAATAAATTAGGCCTTAATTAATTAAAACTTATCACTTAATGGGAAATAAACGGCTATCACGATATTAGAGATAAACTTAACCTAATTGCTTCTGCAGTAACCAATTGAACCTTGTTAAGCATTATAGCTTAATGGTTTCGGCGCACAAAACCTGTCAGCTAGTCCATTGAGGAATAAAAGTTGCTCATACGTCAAAACCAGTCTTCAAAAAGTCTTCCAGTTTCGCCCCAGGACGACAGTCGACCAAGTTATCCATGATATTCTTTCAGTCACCGACGAGGTGTGCAACCCCGGCAATTCCAGCATAAGCCGAGTAACTTAGGTCATATGTACACCTATCAGCTAACACGATGTATCTGCTTTTTACTGCGAATGCGGCCTTTGCTTGCGAGGAGGGCTCAGCTGTGTCTGAAGCCACGATATACATAAGAAAAGTCATGGTTTAGGTAGCAGCCTATCAGAGGGGTCGTCTCGGATGAAAACGTGCCGTTGAGCAGCCCTCATGTTCCAGCTCCAAGCCACACCACTATTAGCGCGGCTGAGAATCCAATTGAAGGAGCAAATATTCGTCCCCCCCTGCTGTCTCGGATGAGGCATGCCGTTAGTGTGGCTGAGAATCCAATCGATAGGATCGATATTTGTCACTCCCTGCGTTATCCGTCTGTTATTGAGTCCCAAACAGGCTCGTGCCAAGCCTCATGGTAGGGCAGATTCAGCAGAGTAGTGCACTCAAAGACAGGGGATGCAAAGTCAAACGCCAGAAGTGAGGTCAAGGCCTATCAGGCTTGGCATTACATAAAGGCACTACTACAAACCGCCGGATCTGCGCTCTGGCGTGGATTTTCCCAACTGATCCTTCGTCTTCCAAACTTGAACATTTACCTACAATGATTGCTTTTTTGCTCTTCTGTGCGGCTCTGGTCGCCGCGGATCTCCCCGTTCCCAACCTAGGACCGCAGCTCAGCGAAGACATCGGCTTTAAAGAAACCCTATTCAACGAGTGTAATGCATTTATCCAGACCTGCGCTCCGACTATCTCTTCCTGCGCGTCTGTGATTTGTAAAGAATGCACCGGCCTTGGACAAAAAGCTCTTAATGCCTGCTGTGCGACAGAGAGCGAGCCGGCATCCTGTCTTGGGCCTGCCCTGGCTATACCTAACCAAGCTGATGCCTCCACAACTATGTCGGATTCTGGTGCTACGGCATCATCGCAAGCCGCCAGTAGTGCGACCCAAACTCAGGCATCTGCGTCGACCGAGGCGTCTTCCGGGCAAGCAGCGGAGTCGTCTAAGAACGTGGGGCAGATAAATTCACACGTGAGTTACACCCTCTAATTGAGGTTGTGTCAAGAGAACTGCAAGCTGAGATATAGAACAGGCCGGTCCAAGTCTCGCTGGGTTCATGATGGCGTGGGTATTGTACATCTTCTAACGGGGATAAGTCTTGTGTGCATTTTAGGCCCCAAAGTAAATGTCTTGGGAGCTCTGATTGTGACACCATATCTACCGAGTCATGTCTGCAATGAGCTACAGTGATAGAATGTCGGAATGTACTATTATCTTAAGCTTGGGTCTACCCACTACGGTGAGATAGAATGACAGCTCATTTCATATCAGCTGACCAACCGAGTTAAGTGAGAATCCTTTTGTGGATATTTTGTCTTCGCCTAAAATCGCATTGCTGCAGTCCATCGTTTGTGAATTTTGCCTAAGTATACGAGATCTCGACTCCCATTGTAGCCAACTTTTCGGACCCGGTTTCCGGCCGAGAAGGAAAACCGTCAGCGTCGGTTTATGCATGCAATGCAGTACCCAAAACAAATGAGGCGCCCATCACGTGCGGTCACAGACTGACAAATGGGAGTGCTCTGAAGTGCAGGGCACCCATAATGAATTGCATTGAAGACTTTAATGATGAGAACTACCCCATCTGCTATGCTACTAGGGTTATTCGATCCCAAGGTGACTATTACCTCTCAGTATAGGTTCTTAGGCTACAGCAACGGAATTACGTTTTCCTATTAGGCTTATTATTTAAGCTTTTTAGGGTAGTATGCAATACAAACATATTATAAAAACAACCAGTTATAGATCAATTATTAATTCCTACCATTGACATTATTCAGAGAACAATAAGAAAAAAATAGAAGAGAGAAAAATGGTTAAGAAAAAGAAAGAAAGTCCTCGCCATTACATTAATTCTTCTTAAAAATAGCACGCAAAAATGTTTGACTCTTCCGGAGTGGGACTCCCGACTCAAGAAAGCTACTCCTTTGGTAACATGCCTCGTCGATGCAAGACTGATCTTTACACCACAGCTGAGATGTGCTCTTCTGGATCCACCTCTGCAAATCATCATCTGGTGTGATATCATAAGGTTGTTGATTGCTTGTCAGTACATTGACAATTGACGCGATGCGCGCGTACTTGTCCCAATTGATAACCTTTTCTGGCCCTCCCGAGTCTTTGGGTGAGACGTCTGGAAAACGTCCGTTGGTAAAGAAGAGCTCGCTGAGATATGAGCGGAGAACGGGGAGGCATGGACCTGACGAGGTGAGGGTCAAGGCTTGGAGTTTCCTGCGATTACCCGAAGGGTCAACGATCATTCGCAGAGAGCGAAGAGATTCCTTGGCCGGTAGTGATACTGCATTCCATGATGCCCTGAGCCTAGATACAGAGATGTCATCTAAGCCCGAGGTAATAGCCACAAGTCCATCAAAGTTGTTTGACTGGAAGAGATGCTGTGCAACAAGAACCCATTTCTCTATTATAGCGCCGCGACTCTTGGGATCCGGGTCGCTTAGGATACTTTGCTTGACCCAATTGGAGACCCCGTCGGTAAGCTGCATCATAGCAGCTACATTGGGAGCGTCT